TCGAAGAAAGAAGAAGATTATATAAACTATAGACTGCAAAGGAGAGAAACCAACAGGAGTGTCAAGAAAGCAAAACAAGCATCCTGGGAACGTTTCGGTAAGTCACTAGCAGAAAATGAGAAAACTGCCAGCAGAAAATTTTTCAAAGTAGTTAAAAATATGCGGAAAAGAGATGAGAGCTACAACCCAACTGAAATAATTAATGATAATACAGGAAGGCCATTGATAGATCCACCCGAGATAGCAGAAAGATGGAGGGAATACTTCAATGAGCTCTTTAATCCTCTAGGAGATCATCAGGAAAGAACAACTGAAGAGTATAGAGCAACAGTGTTAGAACCACACATACTAATGGATGAAATAGAAAAAGTCATTAAACAGTCTCCCAAATATAAAGCACCAGGAGCTGATAGATTACCAACAGAAATAATTCAAGCAGCAGGTGAAAGCAGCATCAGATGGCTTCACAGAATATTCAATGCAGCATGGGTACAACAAACGGCCCCTATTGATTGGCAACATGCAATAGTTATACCATTGTGGAAGAACAAAGGAAGCAAACGAGAATGCGGTCAATACCGAGGCATCTCTCTTTTAAGCCATGTTGGTAAAATGTATGCCAAGATAATAGAAAAAAGACTGAGACCAGTGATAGAACCACAGCTGGCAGAAGAACAGATGGGATTTAGGAGAAATAGAAGCTGCACAGATGCAATCTTCACACTTAAACAGTTAATAGAAAAGAACATTGAATACAATAAGAACTTATTTGTGGCATTCGTAGACCAGGAGAAGGCATTTGACAGAGTCGACAGACAGTTATTATGGAAAATAATGGCAAGATATGGAGTAAGCGAACACCTCATCGAAGTGTGCAAAAGTTTATACAGGGATTGTAGAAGTGTAGTTAGAATAAACCAGGGAACATCTCATCCTTTCACAGTGACATCTGGAGTAAGACAGGGGTGTGTCTTATCACCACTGCTGTTTATCACCTACATCGACAGTATATGCAAGAATGCCAAGCCCATGAATGAAGATCTTGGTAAAATCAACGAATTACTCTTTGCAGATGACCAGGCCTTGATAGCAGATACAGCCATAAATTGCAACAACATCTAACATCCATGAATGAAGAATGTAAAACAAATAATATGAGAATCAACACTGAAAAGTCAGAAGTAATGTCAATAGGAAAAAAGAAGACAGATCTAAACATAGCAATAGAATACAAAGGCATTAAACAGGCATCTGCGTTTAAATATCTGGGAACTACATTTACTGAAGATGGGAAATTGGATAAAGAAATTGACATTAGATGCAGTAAAGCAAACCAAGTATTGGGACAGCTAGCCCCCCTCTTACAGCATAAGACAATCCCAATCAGCACAAAGAGACATCTTAATCAAAGCATATTTATTCCAACTCTGTGCTACCAGTGCCAGACATGGTCACTCACAACAAACCATAAAAGAAAATTAGTAACCACGGAAATGAGATGTCTGAGAAGGGCTGTAGGAGTGACCATAAGAGATAAGATCAGGAATGAGATCATAAGAGAACAAGTCGGCACAGAACCAATTCTGGATTACATACAAAGACAGCAAGTGAAATGGTTTGCCCACTTAGAGAGAATGCCTTGTGACACCATACCATACAAAGCATACATGGAAAGAGAAGAAGGACGTAGAGCACGGGGTAGACCAAGAACAAGATGAAAGGATAACATCAGAGAAACTCTACAACAGCACGATGTGCCTATGGTCGAGGCAGCCAGAAGAGCTAGAAACAGAACCTTATATCTCCCTCGACACCCACAGCGGTAAAAGAGGAAGTGAAGAAGAAGAAGAAGAACTGCTGGGCCGCAGCCTGTGCGTTGAAGAACACTGCAGTAACAGACACGCAGTTTAACTATTTTAATTCAGTGTTTTCCTAACGTCTTGGATGTTTATTTTAATCAAGTTACTGTAAAGTTAATCATTTCGCCTACACCCATCCCCCCCCCCTCCCCCCAATTGAAACGGACACCAATTCACCATCTCTACATATACACACGCAAAGAAAAGAGACCTTGTCACGAACTAAATAAATATTTTCACGATTTGGGTGCAACTTATACAATGTAAACTCTGGCCACATATTTGTCAGCAGTAGAAGCCAAATTGTTTGTCTCTAGTATCAACGAATCTAAAAGCGTGATTGTTTGAGTAAGTATCGAGTGAGACACTGTATGGTTCTGTTTAGTTGTCCATTGGTTTTGTTTATTTCATTGTTATGGTGTCTTTTGGGCTAACCGTTGGTTTCAAAGAGAGGACAGGAAGAGAGGGGGGACGAACGAACGGACGAACAGACACACTGAAACCACACGGTTAAATTGGCCCGGGGACATATAGACAGACAGGCACCCAGGCAGAGAGAGAGAGAGAGAGAGAGAGAGAGAGAGAGAGAGAGAGAGAGAGAGAGAGAGAGAGAGAGAGAGAGAGAGAGTTGGGGGGGGGGTGTGGATGGATGGTTGAATGACGGTGGATAGGTGGTATGGAAAAACAAAGAGAGCGCAGGGAGGAGGCCGGCAGGGGGCTGGGGGTGGAGAGAAAGAGAGAATGAATTAATTGTTTTCTAAGCGTTTAGAATTTTTCCGGCTCGTTTTTAAACCTGCTCCTTTTGTCTATTTTTTTAAAAATTCTCTTACTAAGTTAATGTTAAAAAAAAAAAAAAACCTCAACGACAATGATTTTGACATTTATAAATACATGTGAAATATACAGTAACCATGACTACACAATATATTATAAATTATTTGTGTGGTAAAGGTAATATTTAGTAAAGAAGCCCTTCCCTCTGCCTTCATGCGTATTGGGCATATAGGGCTAGACCTATATTTAATAGACCAGTCAGCACCCAGCCGGTGACATTGCTGGCGTCACGCCATTCGCCTTTACTTCCCATTTAAGTCTGGGTCGACTCGGGAGCCAAGGTCATTTTTGAAATGAGTACGGCTCCGCAGGATCTGAACCCACGACCTTCTGATCCGCAAGCGAGCGTCTAGCCGCAAGACCGTGACGCCTTCCGGTAAGGAAAATAACACCATGAAATAAGACAGCAGAATGCGTAGGATAATGAGAGAGAGAGAGAGAGAGAGAGAGAGAGAGAGAGAGAGAGAGAGACCCATCTACAGAGAGAGAGAGAGAGAGAGAGACCCATCTACACAGAGAGAGAGAAAGAGAGAGAGAGAGACCCATCTACACAGAGAGAGAGACCCATCTACACAGAGAGAGAGAGAGACCCATCTACACAGAGAGAGAGAGAAAGAGAGAGAGAGAGAGACCCATCTACACAGAGAGAGAGAGAGACCCATCTACACAGAGAGAGAGACCCATCTACACAGAGAGAGAGAGAGGGAGAGAGAGAGACCCATCTACACAGAGAGAGAGAGAGAGATAGAGAGAGAGACCGACCCATCTACACAGAGAGAGAGAGAGAGACCCATCCACACAGAGAGAGAGAGAGAGAGAGAGAGAGAGAGAGAGAGAGAGAGAGAGAGAGACCCATCTACACAGACAGAAAGTTCGAGATAGGAAAGAAAATGGTTTAGCGTGACAGCCGGTTTCTGTGTTGCCAGTTTGTTTGTCCATGACTGTCGCAAGGAGATGTGAAATCTGAACGGAATGTTGCTCCCAGTTCGTGAACTCTTCCTCTACTGGCTGTTGCCCCAGCTGCTTGCTTTTCAGTAACTACTCTGTGTGTTCAATGTTTAAAATGTGTGATGTTCTGTTTTCTTATGTTGTTTGTTCTTTAATAATTGCTTTCTTTTTCTTTGTTCATGCGTGCTGTCTTTTATTATTTGTTAATCCGTTTATCGTCATATAGCTTATGCCAATATGTGATGAAAAACCACCCCTCCCCCTGTTTCCGTATAGTTACATTGATGTTTTAATGTCATGGTTTGTCATTTTCTTGCACTAAACCGGGCGGCTCCAGTGGTTCCCCCAGCCTCTAGGAAATGGGTACCAGAGTTTACACTCTGGGTAAATGGAGGAACGTCGCTGTAGCTACAGAGTTACGTGCGAACGGCGACACAGGCGGACAATTCTTATCAGCTGTCTGTACTAATGGGAGAGCACTTATGGTTAATAACCGTGTGCAATGACGCTGGTTCACATCTCCCGACTCTACCTTTTTTTTTCTTGTACTTCTATGTGTGTATTATTATTTGAATTTGGGATGCGATTTTATTGTTGTTTTCAGTCCCACTTCGGCTGTTATCTGGGGTTTGATATAACCTAATGGTTAAACGCAGTTTCTGGGACTTGCGCCTGGGTGATTATCCGAATGGTGGCACTTTGTGTCACTGGGTGTTAAACGCTCGTTGTGCGGTTTTGTGGGGGGGGGGGGTTAAACTTCATTCCTATTTACTGTGCTGTTACAACCACTATCAAACAACATTGTAATATAAGTGTACTGGCCACTGACCCAATGCTTTATGTCATCAGACTCCCCTAAAAGTGGGAAAACTGCATTCGCAGCCGTTTGAAAACACTGCTGCAGATATAATCTGCTTCCATTCATCCCTGTGATTGATTGGCCTTCTCTTTCCAGCTGGTGACCACAAGTGTTCGTAGAAGAGTAAAATAACTTTTCCATGCCTTTCAGATGTATTGGGCATATAGGGCTAGACCTATATTTTAGAGACAAGACAGCACTTGGTGGGTGTTGAGGTCAAAATTATGCCAACCGCCTTTGCTTCCCAGGACTTGTACTCGGTCCCATTTAATACTTTTTAGCCTGGATGACAAAGTAATTTTTGAATAACGTCAGGCTGTCTATGGGTTTTAACACACGACCTTCAGATCCGCAAGCAAACATCTAGCCACTATAACATGGTGGCTGCCAGGTTTTTGTAGGTTTGTCTGTGATTTTATATCTCTACTAAATTTCAGTCTGGAACTGAAGGAGTTAATTTTTTTCGAACATGCCCTCACATTTTTATTTTTATTTTCCAGTGCTCTGATAGAATACTGCCAACCTGGCCTGTGTCCAGACTGGAGAAATTTGTCCAGAAACAACAGGTCAGTAATTGTTACCATCAGTGACTTCATTATTTGAGAGTTCTGTTTGAACTAACATTGTTTTTTTTTGTATTTACACACACACGCACAGATATATATATATATATATATATATATATATATTTGAGCATGTGTGTGTGTGCTGTGCGCGAGTGCGCGAGTGTGTGAGTGCTGCACGCGAGTGTGTGAGTGCGTGTGTGTGTGATGCAGTAAACATCATTGCAACTGCCTTTACATCCCAGGACTTTACCTGGTACCAATTCAATGTTAGGTCGGCCTGTGAGATATGAAACCCATGACTTTCAGATCTGCAGGCAGGCGTCTAGCCACTACACCATGGTGGGTTCTATAATGCAGTGAGATTGAAAAAAAAGACGAGCAGTAGGTTAAAAAAAAGTCATAGATGGATCAGGCTGATGATAGTGTTTAGCAGGTTTGTTGAACAGGAACAAAGCATCCGGGGTAATCTGCAGGAAATAACAAGAGCTAGGACATGACGAAAACTACAGGAGAAACATTGGAATGGTTTCTTGTATGAATTTTGTTATAATGGGTCACAAAAGATAAAGAAGGTTATGCCAGAATGGCATCTGAAAAGGAAAATCTGTGCACAATTTATATTCCAAAATTCCAGGAAAGCATTTAAAAAATGAAAAAGATAATGACCATGTAAACAAAATTAACAATATGCCAGGATGGATATGTTATAAAAAGTCAACCCCTTTGGTCACCTTTTCTAATTTTTTATTTTTCTGATGGCCTTTCGTCAAGAAAATATAAATACAGTTTAAAAAAAAAGATTACCTTTAGACTATTGGTATGGAACAATTTTACTGTAACTTTATTACTAATAAAATTGTTGCCACTCACAGACTGAACAACTGCCAGAATGCCATGACTTTAGCTCACGAGAAGCTCAACATTCCCATTGTGGTGCGACCAGAAGACTTCTCCTCACCTCACCTGGATGAGCTTTCTGGCATGACCTACCTGTCCTACTATATGAATGTAGACTCGCCAGGTTATCTGGCCACCCGTCGAGAAGTCAGAGCTCTTCTGCAGCAGGGAACTATTGATAACTTTACTGTATGTATATGTTTTTTTTACAGATAATTAGTTAGTTAAGGTTAGCCAGTCAGTTAGTCAGTCAGTTAGTCAGTCAGTCAGTTAGTCAGTCAGTCAATTCAGTCAGTCAGTCAGTTAGTCAGTCAGTCAGTTAGTCAGTCAGTTAGTTAGTCAGTTAGTCAGTCAGTTAGTCAGTCAGTCAACCAGTCAGTTAGCCAGGCAGTCAGTTAGTGAATTAGCTAAGTCAGTCAGTTAGTGAATTAGCTAAGTCAGTCAGTCGATAAGTCACTTAGTGAGTAAGTTACTGAATTAGTTTGTCAGTAAGTTAGTTAATGTTAGTCAGTAAGTCAGTCAGTTAGTTAGTCAGTTAGCTAGCGGATTAGTTAGTTAGCTAGTTCATTAATGTAAGTCAGCAAGTCAGTCAGTCAGTCAGTTATTTAATCAGTCAGTTAATGAATTAGTTAGCTTGCTAGTTTATTAGTTAGTGAATTAGTTAGGGCAGTCAGTGGGTAAGTCAGTGAGTTAGTGAATTAGTTAGTCAGTTAGTTAGTTAGTTAGTGTTAGTCAGTCAGTTAGTTAGTTAGTCAGTTAGTTAGTTAATTAGTTAACTAGTTAGTTAGTTCATGTTAGTAAGTCAGTCAGTCAGTCAGTCAGTTGGTTAGTCAGTTGGTGAATTAGTTAATTAACTAGGTCATCACCTGTAGCATCAGCAGCAGCCAGTCTATCAGCCTGGTCCCTACTCTGCACCCCAAAACATCCTGGGCAGAAAATCCATGCTTTGTTTCTGATCAGGGTCTTTTTGAGTGAAGCAAGCCATTCTAATCCTAGGACAGCCATTTCAGTTTTCCTGTTGATGCTCTGTGAGTCTGTTACAGTTACAGCATCTTGGACTGAACTATCCTCTAGCCATTGAAAAGCTGCAATTAGTACCTCCACCTCAATTCTCATACTAAATGTGACCTATTTCTCTAAAACACAACATAACACTACTGTCTGCCTCTACCTCCATTCTCATACTAAATGTGACCTATTTCTCTATAACACAACATAACACTACTGTCTGCCTCCACCCCCATTCTCATACTAAATGTGACCTATTTCTCTATAACACAACATAACACTACTGTCTGCCTCCACCTCCATTCTCATACTAAATATGACCTATTTCTCTATAAAACAACATATAACTACCATCTAGAAGGACAGAAAGTGCCAGCAAAGCTATCTGTAGACATTAAACCCAACAGAACTCCCATTTTATTTTATGAAACTGCAGTTGACATTTGAAATATGGGTTTCAGACTGACTGGAATGATGGCCGCCTCCTCTGCACTTTGGTGAAGTCAGTTGGTGGAGAAGTCGCTGGATGGCCAAATTTTTCCCAGGATCCTGAACAAAATTTGCAACATGGTAAGTAGATGTTTTGTTGTTGTTTTTGTTGTTGTTATGTGAACAAGGTTGTTTAATTTGATCATCATCACTGTCTTCATGTCTGTATGTGGTGTCTCCTCAGTAGAGGCTGGATAAGGTAGATAGATATCTGCATCCACTCCTGTCTTTGAATATCTTCTTCTTTTCCTCCCCCATCTCCATCTTCTCCTTCCCCTTCTCCTCCTTCTTCGCTTCTTCTTCTTCTTTATCATCTTCTTCATCTTATTCTTCTTTCTCCTCCTCCTCCTCCGACCCAACACATCCAGTTTTGTCACATCATTTACTAGTAGCCTTTCTCAATATTGTTTGTTAGAGGCCAGTTGGTCTACCCCCCCCCCATTCCCCCCCCCATTCCCCACCCCCACCCCCACCCCCACCACCTTTCCTCGCCTACTTTGCCACTCCTAACATTTGGGTCCCACAGCCCCCACGGGGATCCATTGTTAAAAAAGCTAAGAGTACACTTTTATTCTATACAGCTCACCAATGGAAATCAAGCTCTGACTGAGTCTTTTAAAACATGTTCACATAACTTCTGAGTCACAGAAATGCATTACTTCATTATAGGTCTTAAACGTGGCCTTGGAGCTGAGGGAGTTCAGTTGTTGGTATCCTTCCTTCTCAGTCTTGCCATGATTGCTAAAGGTCCTGTTTCAAGCCCCTGTGAAGGCTGGGGTTTTTTCGCGTGGACTTCTAGTATTTTCCCCTGGTCTCTAGATAGTAAGATTGGATGCTGGTGTGTATTGTTGTTAACGTAAACAATCCCTTGGCAGTTGGAAATCGAAAGAGTAGCCTAACGGCACTGCCTGAGCATAATTTTGAGTTAAAATTCTACATAAAAGTATTTCAGGATCCTCGCCGATGCTTCAGAGTTAATCCACCGTGCTTATATTCTTCAGGCTCAAGCTTGAGTTAGAAGTAGAACGGGGCACTTAAGACTTACTACCCTTGTGCCATGATTTTGATCTGTTGTATAAATCATTAATTAATTAATTAATTAATTAATTAATTAATTATTTCATTCATTCATGTCCAAGTGGTTTCGAATAGCAGTAGAGTACCAAACTCATGGGTATATATCTTCCAGAGGGGTTAGATAAACAAACCTTGCAGGAAACAGCCCCTCACTATGCAATGTAAAAACATACATAATACATTGATTGACACCTGTGCGTTGTTTAGGACAGAAATAAAGGTCATGCATCACTTATTTGTTCATTTCTACATCTCATGTGTGCAATGGTCTGTAACTCAAAACAAGAATACGCTGTTATCTTATGTTTACAACACACAAAGGAACAGAAACATGAGCCTTTCTACCTGCAGTCAGGTGTGCTGTATTAAATAAATAGGTGTAAAAGGACACCTTTCAGTTGTGAATTATGTCTGCTCAGTTTCACAAGAGCAGCTATGAGACCATGACCCAATTAGTGTCTCGTTTTGGCTATCCAGCTAGTGTGTCTGCTTGTTCTTCTGTCTTCTTCTCTTCCTCCTCTTATATTTTTCTTCTTCTTCTTCTTCTTCTTCTTCTTCTTCTTCTTCTTCTTCTTCTTCTTCTTCTTCTTCTTCTTCTTCTTCTTCTTCTTCTTCTTCTTCTTCTTCTTCTTCTTCTTCTTCTTCTTCTTCTTCTTCTTCTTCTTCTTCTCTTTTCCCTTCCTCTTTCATCCTTAAATGTGTTGATAGCATGTTGTGTTTTGCTTTACAGTATTTGTGCTTTTTGGTCCAACATATTAGATTCCTGGGAATCATTTTTTTTTTTTTTTAGCATTCACTAGCTGTAAACTCTGGCAAAACAAATGCTCACTGAAACTGATAAACGGTAAATGAAATGAAATCAGGAAAGGTGAAGAAATAAGAAAAATGTCAGGACATCCGCTAGCATCAACAGTTAAAAGCAAAGAGATGTCCTGATGTTTTATAAATGATGCTCTATAAATGATGTTTTACAAATGATGTTCTATAAATGATGCTCTATAAATGATGCTCTATAAATGATGTTCTACAAATGATGTTCTACAAATGATGTTCTATAAATGATGCTCTACAAATGATGTTCTACAAATGATGTTCTATAAATGATGTTCTGGGTTCCCCTTGTGGGTTCCCTGTGTGGAGAAAAAAAAAGAATGGACCCACTGCTGTCCCTATCAAGCATGTCATAAAAGGCAACTAATTAGATGTTTGCAGAAAGTGGATGTGTTAGGCCAAGAAACACAAATATCGCAGCCTAGCTGTCAACCTTAACACACCTAACACAAAGTGCCAACCACCTTATAAAGGGTGAATGCAGAAGACAAAGTCATGTTATGTTATCACAGTCTGTGTCTTTGCACATTGGGCATCCCCCGAAAAGCTGAGGCCGCCAGATATTGCTGAAACCTGGGATTGAACCAGGGACCATTAGATCTTGAGTCTTATGCTATCCTAGCTAAGCTATTTCAGCTGTCCTGTGTTTCTGATGGGTGACTGTATTGGTATGAGTGGGAGGGAGGATTGGAGAAGGTTGCAGAGGATAGAAGTAAGTATTGAGGAAAGTGAAGCAAGAAAACTAGAAGATAGAGTGGAAGGGTAAGTGAGATAGAGGGAAGGTGGAAAATGGACAGTGGAAGGGTAAGTGAGATAGAGGAAAGGTGGAAAAGGAAGAGTGGAAGGGTAAATGAGATAGAGGGAAAGTAGAAAAGTGAGAGTGGAAGGGTCAGTGAGATAGAGGGAAGGTGGAAAAGGGAAAGTGGAAGGGTAAGTGAGATAGAGGAAAGATGGAAAAGGGAGAGTGGAAGGGTAAGTGAGATAAAGGGAAGGTGGAAAAGGAGAGTGGAAGAGACAGAAACAAAAATAGAATGAGAATGATGGAAATAAGAAATGGATAATAGAGAGACCCATAAAAATAAATTTTTGATTTCTGATTACTGATTTAAGAATTGACATCATAGCACAATGGGCATATCTAAGGATGCTCCGTCTTCTGCAACAAATGCTGAAGTTGTAGATGCTAACTGTTTCCGTAGCTCATTGATTATACATGTGTCGTTCTCTTACTCTCGTCCATCCTCTTTACGATATCCTTTTTTAACTCCATATTACACATGTTAATTCATCTAACCTCATATCTTTTATCAACATTAATTCATAAATTGTCTTTAAAATTTCTCCTTTGTTTAGCACAAGTGTTTGTGTAGCTATCACTGCTGAATAAACAATAATAAAATTGTTATCTAATTTTCTTCTTTGTTTACAGGTATCGATGGAGCCAGGAAACTTGGCATTGAGCCGATCTTCACAGCCAAAGAAATGGCTGACCCGGAAGTAGAACACTTGGGCATCATGGCTTATGCAGCCTACTTTAGAAAGTTTAAACCAGTCAGAATCGTCCAGAATAAAGCTTCCATGGAGGGTCAATTCAATGATATTCATGTCAGGCAAGAGGTTAGTCTTATAAAAAATTTTCTTTTTAAAAACTTTGAGGTTCTGTCAGTCAGATGTGTCTGTACAGTTTGTCCCCTCCAGGCTGTGGTCCGAAGGTTTGACACCCAGAGATTACAAAATCTCATTCATGGCCACATGCGCAGTAGAAAAGGGTTGATCAGTGTTGTGTGTGGATATCATCTGGCAACTGTAGCTGCTTGTGTCCCACATAGTTAATCATTTTCATTATCACACTGTGTCATATTTGTGACATAGGACTTGCACATACTTTATGTGGGACATAGGACTTACATGTCATTTATGTATGACATAGGACTTGCAGTTTCTTCTTCTTCTTCTACTCCTCTCTGTCCTGTGCAACATTTTTTAATATCATTGAGGTAATCCAGTTCAGGACTTTGACCTCTCTCACTTTCACATTCTTCTTCATGGATGTCCTGGTTTCATCAGTCCTTTTGTTTCACATTTCTATGCATGTTTGGTGGTGATTCTTTGTCCATTTCTCTTTAGGATACCCAGTGTATTGTGCTATTCTTTGTTTTTTTTAAAACTGTTGATATCAAAGGTTGTCCAAACATCTCTCTCATGTCTTGTCTTTTCTTGAATTCATTCCATTTATTGTTCGTTAACACCCTCAAGTATTTGTTTTCAATATTTATTTATCTGTCATTCCATGCATGTAGTGGTTTTCCTACTCTCACTGGCATTTGTTAAAATTGAAATGACATCTTAATTTTTTTTTTTTTAAATATGTAATTTGGTTTTACCTATCAAAGATGTCAACAGCGGGGAGTGGAGAGTGAGTAGCAACAACGAAATTCATAATCTGTTTAAATCAACATTGATCACTGGTGTCATGACCTAATAGACTGAAATGCCTGGGGTATATTGAGAGAATGTCAGAGGACAGGCAGGTAAAGACTATAATCAAGGGAGATAAATGGTCGTAGACCATGAGGCAGACTATAATCAAGGGAGATCAATGGTTGTAGACTATGAGGCAGACCAGAATCAAGGGAGATCAATGGTTGTAGACCATGAGGCAGACCAGAATCAAGGGAGATCAATGGTTGTAGACCATGAGGCAGACCAGAATCAAGGGAGATCAATGGTTGTAGACCATGAGGCAGACCAGAATCAAGGGAGATCAATGGTTGTAGACCATGAGGCAGACCAGAATCAAGGGAGATCAATGGTTGTAGACCATGAGGCAGACCAGAATCAAGGGAGATCAATGGTTGTAGACCACGAGGCAGACCAAAAAGACGATGAAGAGATTATGTCCATAGAGACCTGCAAACACTTGGTTTTACCAAATGGAAAGAGAGAAGGCCAACCAAAGAGATGAGTGGAGGCGGGTGATATCTGCAGCAATGAAGCTCAAGAGCTCGCAATGCTGAAAAAGAAGAAAAATTTGGTTTTAAAACAATAGAATTCAGAATCCATAGTTTTTTTTTAAAAGCTTCTGTTGCTGTGCGTATCATAATTTGTTTCCCTGGCAATCAAAATAGCCACCTAAACAGGTAATTAATAAACTTTATTATTGTTTCAGAAACACTTTGTTATTCATGCGACAGAAGGCACGTCCCATGATTCAATTAGAGCAGAAGTGATAGGACCAGACTCGATTGTTCCGGTGAGAACCAGATGGAACGGTGATAAATGTGATTGCTACTTCACACCCACTGAAAATGGGCAGCACAAGGTACATTTATAGATTTTTTCAGTACATTTATAGATTTATTCAGTACATTTATAGATTTATTCAGTATATTTATAGATTTATTCAGTACATTTAAAGATTTATTCAGTACATTTATAGATTTATTCAGTGATTTAGTGATTTACACATGTCTAAGTTTGTCAAGAAACAGATTATAAACAAGCTATTCATACCAACACTTTGCAGCTTCTCTTTGTCTTTCTTCTTTTCTCTACGCCTGGAATGTCTCGCAACGTCAGAGCAGGAAAAGATCTCTGGAATGGGACCATCTTTTCTCTACGCCTGGAATGTCTTGCAGCGTCAGGGCAGAAAAGAAAACTGGAATGGGCCTTTTGTTCACTTTGCAAAATGTACTTTTCCGTGTCTCTAATGTTTCTGTGGTCCATATTCTGCGTGGTCGACCTCTGGCTCTGTTACTGCTGGATCTGTATAACATTGCTCTCCGCTGTGCCCTGTCTGATGCCAATCTTGTTACATGGCCAAACCATTTGATTTGTTGTCTACCTATAAAGTTCACTATTGGTTCTGTGCTGATTCTCCTCCTGATAACATCATTCCTAAGTCGATCTTTCCTCGTTACACCTAGCAAAAGAACGTAAACATTTCATTTCTGTGGTGACTATTTTCCGTCTTTCTTCTGAAGACAATGTCCATGTTTAACACTGAAAGCATGGCATTGGTAAGAATATTGTATTGAACAGGGTTCTTTTAGAGTTCATATTCACATGCTTTTATTTCAAAATTGGTGCCATTTGGCCTAAAACTTGATTGGCTTTATTGCATCTTTGCAGTACAATAAACTATGCCAATGCTGAAAACAGCAGAAACAAGACACCCCTAGAATATCTGTTTTAGTATGTTAGTGTTAGTGTTAAATAAACACAAACTCCAACCCTAACCCCCCCATAAATTCCTGGGAACTCCCTAAGAATTCCCTATGAAATCTCGGAGCTCCCAAAATGGGGTAAACAAGCATAAAGGAACCATTTTAATTTAAAACAGACTTCACAGAATCTTGGACAAAAGTGGCAATGTAGCATGTTCACTTAATTAATTTCTTCGCATAAAATAAAATGTGTATCTGTTCCTCCACAGCTGAATGTGTATTGTGATGGCCAGACTATCCCGGGTTGTCCAGTGGCATTTAAAGTACAGTCTGACCGGTCAAAGATTAAGTTTGACCACCTGGACAGAGCTGTTGTTGGGGTTACTAGTGAACTCAAGGTAAGATATAATCATTATCATCATTTCATGTGAGCTATTGGTGCATCTTCGCCCTCCTCCTAGAAACGGGTTTCTTTATCTATGTTGAGTTGAGTCAACAATTGACATCACAGCACTCAGGGCATTCCCTTGCGTGCTCTGTCCCCATCTTCAGCAGCCAGTGCAGAGTTCCAGTACTGGTGGTACCCGTCACAATCTGGTTATTTGTTGTTTTAACTTTCCTCTGAGTGTAGTAAGCCGGCCAGACTGTCTGGTTACACCCAGGTGCCTCATTTTCTCCAGGCCATAATAATCATCTTTCTCTGCTGATTCCGTTGCTTTTTCCCCAAAGGGCCTTGACCACATCTGCCTTGTCATTTATCAATTCACCACCCAGTGGTGCAGATCCAGCCAATCTGTTTTTATGATGATTGAAAACTTGTTGTACATAAACAGCTCCAGAGAACTGCCTGGCATGGTCAAGAAATTTATTGCTAGAAGTGCATCAATCCTTATTTATTTATTACTAGAACCCTAATCCATATATAGGAGGGTAAAGAATTCCCATGTCATCTTTGAAAAGGTTTCCCCTAAAGATACAATCAAGGAGAATAAATCTACTATTTCACTAAGGGCATAATAAATCTAACATGTTAATAACACAATGTTAGTAAGATTTTCTAATTATTCATAGTACAATTTCTATTCATAATCATAACTGAAATCAAAGCAATATATGAAACAATACAAATTAGACACCGGTCATTTAAGTAATTGTGCAATATATAAATAATAAAATAAAAATATATACTCCGAGAACTAGATTAACAAAGATTTTGAATGTCAAAATTATGGTAACATTATGTTCCTTTATGTTGCTACAGTTTTGATTATTTTTAATTTTATTTTTGTTATAATATATTATCACTGTTTTCCTTTAGAGTCAGAGTTCATTTGCCAGAGAGGGAAGGAACCAGCAGTCTGCACACTATAAGCCAGATCTGTGTAATGGATGTACAAGCACCACTCAGATCCCCGAACAAGGCCTAAGTCTAGAAGTGGTCAAACAACCTTTCCCACTTGGGTTCTGGGGCCACATTTTGGTGATAACAAGAAAAGACACACTGCCTCTCTAACAAGCATGTCATAGAAGTTGACTAATTAGGGGTTTCCTTCAAAGTAGAGTGCATTTGCCTGGTAGATGAAAAACCAACAGTCTGCTCACAGATAAGCCAGATCTCTGTAAAATGGATGTGCATTCAAAACTCAAGTTCTGAAACAAGATCAAAGTCCTGAAGTGGATGAACAACCAGAACTTTCTGTGCATGCAGAACTCAGATTCTGGAACTTCTAGTTGTCACTAAATGTTTCAATTTTAGTCTTTCTCATGACATATCCTTTGGTGTCTTTGGCTTATACGTTGCAAGTCCGACTCATAATTCCAGTGTACCCCAATCGAAACCCACTGCTAGCTGCATGGGTTTTTATCATGGTATTGGGCGTCGCAGGTCGACCCAGTATAAAATTGGTACCAGGATGGCTGTCCTGGGGAAGTAAAGACAGCCGGCATAATGCTGACCACATTACCAATCTGGTGCTAATTGGCCTGTAAAAATATGGGATGCCTGATGCACTTAAGGCATGAAAAGGGATCTTTACTTACTTTACTCATGACATATCCCAATAAATCTTGAATCTACGTTGAATGTCTCTGAATAAGAAAATATACCTTCACCATTTTATTAATGACATCAGAGCTTGGCATCTGACTGATTCTGCTGCTTCCAACAGGTGGACATGACATCTGCTGGTCAAGGGGATATTAGGATTGAGACCATCTCTCCTAGTGGCAGAGTCATGGAGATGCCAGTTGTCTACAGAGATGGCGTGCATAAAGCCAATTTTACACCGACTGAAGTTGGTAAGTACATATCAATTTTTCTTTATTCAACCACTGAAGCACCAACAGTGTAGTGAATGACTGCAATGAATCTTGCACATCAGTTCACTTCTGGTCAGTTTTGTCAATAGCCAGCTGACCGCTGATGCTTTGAAAAGTTATTTGTTTCCAACAAGCTTTTGCTGATGCCAATTCCCCATTTTTGGCCCAAGAGTCCAACGGTTCCATCACACAGCTGAGTTGGGTGTTTGGTGCAACACTGTGAGCTGTGGGTTTCATATGGAGTGATTTTGTGTGTGTCCACAGTATGATGTTAACTGCACTAAAATGGCAGGTGGCCAGTTAGGATCAGAATAACGTGTCCAGTTGCAGGTACCATGCCGGTTTTTGCGATTGACTGCATCAACAGTGAGCTGTAGTTCTGTTACATGACCGTTAGTGTTGGCTCATCTGTCTTTTGGCACTTTTACTTTGCGTGTGCAAGTTTAGATATTTTACTGGGACTGACAAGTTTTTCCTAGTTTTCAAATGGGACAGTAAAGGAAATTTCGTATGATTTCCACTGGCACAGAAGGGAGCACTTATGGGGTGATCTGTCTGCAGCAATACCTCTACTGTGAATTAAAGAATACTAACAAGCAGTCCTCGAGTCTATCTGTTAATATTTACAATCATTATGTAGTTGGTCAGAAGTTTTTAAAAAAAAAACTATTCATGACATTTCCCGCCCAAATGATGTGATTAATTATGCAGGTGGCTCTGTGTTTTGAAGCAGGCGAAGCGAAGTGCATGGGAGTTCTTAGCAAAAAATGAATGGATGTCATTTAGTGCACCAAAGCCTGGCTTATGATACCACAGCATCTAGTTTGAGAATGGAGGTGGAGGAAGTCACTGCAGCTTGAGAACTAGTTGTATACACATGTTATAGTTGTAACTGACTTAAAGAGCATGTTGAGAAAAGTTGAGACAGGTATGCTCAGTGAAGAGTGGCAAGCATCACTTTAGAGGTCCCTGGTAGTTAGCATCCTTTGGATATTTTCTCCAGATCATACTATTGTGTTGGAAAATGAATAGGAAGATAGACTGCTAGTTCTGCCTTCTTGGTGATGAATTTATTCATAACATTTTAGAGATTGTAAGGTTCATTTGGGAATGATTTTGAATTAGGATTCGACATCACAGCACTCAGGACACCCCCATAATGGCTCCGTCTCCATCTTCAGCAGTAAGAGAAGTTCCAATTCTGATGGTACCAGTAACTGTCTGATTGTATATCCGTCTCACCTTTCCCCTGAGTGTTGAGAGCCTACCAGATCCCCTTGTGACTCTTCGCAGCCCCCTTCTCCCCAGACCGTAATGATCTATCGGTGCCTCTGCAATGTTCACTCGCTCTCAGAGGGCCCTGACAACATCCAGCTCGTCATTCATCACTTCACCAAGTGGTGCAGAGCCAGCCAGTATGTCTTACTGCTCGTTTCCCAACATACTGGTATTACCTGGAGAAAATATCCAAAGGACGCTAACTACCTGAGACCTCTGTAGGTGTATTTGGGAGTGAGTGAACAGTGTGGAGGGACATAAAGATCCTCATTTTCTGAGGAGAATAATGCTGCAAGGAGTTTCCAGCAGTCAACATTCAAGAAAAAGGTGAGACAGATATACGATCAGACTGTTACTAGTGACATGGGAATTGGAACTCTCCACTTTTGGGAATATCCTGATTGCTGTGATGTCAGTTCTTAATTCAGCATTTAACCTACAGCGGGCCACGGGCCCTTTGCAGTTGCTTGCTCTCATTATGGTACATGGGTAAGCGGGCAGGTCCCTGGCCAGTTTGCCTGCCTTATAAATTCTCATAGAAAACCAAATGAAGCAGTCCTTGTTGAGATATATGAAAGTGGGAAACTGGTTGGAAAAACTAGATGAAGACAGCCCCTTGTGGATTCCAGGTCTGTTTTTTGGGAGAACAAAGAATAGACACTGTCTCTCTAAGAAGCATGTCAAAGGAGATGGCTATTTAAGGGTGTTTCCTTTAAAGTTAGAATGCATCTGCCCAGAGGCTAGGAACCAACAGTCTGCATACAAATCGGCCAGATTTGTTAAATATTTCATGCAGAACTTCAGTTCTGGATCAAGACCAAAGTCCAAGAGTGGATGAACAACCAAAAGTTCCTACTGGCATTTACAGCCGATGAAGACAAAGAAGAAGAAGAAGAAGATGTTATGGAAAAGAATGAACTTGGGAACTTGGTGACAAAGGCAAGATTGAAGGAAAGAGAGCAAGAGGAAGGCAACAAGATAAATACCTGGATAACTAGGCCCCTTGGCTGGGGTAAGACAAGAACATTGATCTGATCCGTGATCTTGTTAGATGGCGATGTGTGACAGCCTTCACTTACCAGCATGGTGGTGCTAGTGATGGTGGAATAGTCATGATGTAACAAAAACAACAGCAAACATTTTCTAACAAAGACATTTCATCCACAGGTGACTGGAAGATAGCCATGTTGTACGAGGGGGAGCACCTCCAGGGTAGCCCATACAAGGTCAATGTGTTTGACCCCTCTCTTGTTCGCATCAATGACCTTCATGGAGGGAAAGTAGGACATGAACTTTGTTTCCATGGTGAATATATTGTTGTCCTCATTTACATATATTTTGTTAGTGGGCTGCCTCGGCTAAGTGGCCCTAGAATAGAGGTTAGTGAATGTGTTTAACAGTTTCAGGATCCTTGAGTACTAGTGCTGTGGATAGCACACTTACCCTCCAGATTAATGGTATTGTGATCAAATCTCTTTCAAAGCAGTGAGTTTTTCATTAATCTGGCCTGAAAAGTGGACCCAGCCACAAATTTGTACCATATTTTTGTGTGGAATATTAGGCAGTGTGTATGGTCTTGTTCAAACTATCGTAGTTTTGCAGTTGTTCTTTATCTCCATATCTTACATTGTTAATGCCCTCAAAGGCAGAGGGACCAACAGTCTGCACCCAATAAGTCAGTCAATCTAGAAAATAGATGCACATGCATCAATCAAGTTGTGGAACAAGATCAAAATCATCAAGCAACAAATGTGTTGTAAAAGTGGAATAATTATGAGAATATCCTTTGAAGTCAGAGTACGTCTGCCTGAGAGGTGAGGACCAACTCTGCATACAAATAAATCAGATCTGTAAAACAGATGTGCATGCAAAACTTAAGCTCTGGAACAAGACCAATGTCCAGAAGTGGCCAAACAACCATAACTTTTCCAGTCATACATAACAGTTTACAGCCGGTCTGCGTGAAGAAGAAGAAGCAGAAGTCAAATCACAGATGACCTAGACTTTACACAGGAGTTGACAGCCTGTGAACAAAAAAAAGAACAAGAAGAAATGATTAATTTTAATTAATATGAATGCTCTTTTGAAAGAAAAATACAATTTTTACATTCAAATGCAAAATGTCTGTCATCAGCGGATGCCTCAGCTGCGGGTGAAGGAGAAATCACTTGCCAGGTTTTTCATGGCAACTCAAAAGTGCCTTGCTACGTGACCAAAGATGAATACGGGAAATATAAAGTTGACTTTACTCCGCAAGGATCTGGAAGTTATCGGGTCCATGCCTACATGAATGACATTGAAGTCAGAGGTCAGATTTGTGATGGTGGTGTCAGTTATTGTTTGTGTTTCTCAAAGTTTGCTTGTGGTTTAGTGATGTGACCTTTGGTGTAGGAAGAGGGGTGCGAAGGGTGTAGGCCGTCCCAGGTGTCATCACTGAGGCGCTGGCAACATTTCAAAATGATTAGTATAAAAATTGATTTTTAAAAATATAGATAAATATGTGGAAAAGGGGGGGGGGGGGGGGGGGGGGGGGGGGGGGGGGGGGGGGGGGGGGGGGGGGGGGGGGGGGGGGGGGTTATATATTTTGTTAGCAATTAGTAATGGGTACAACCTGACCTTGCTGTGCCACTTGTGCCTTCTTCTCTTTAACCTTGTGTATTAATTGTTATTCCAATTATTGTTATTATTATGTTATGTTTACTCTTGTTAGTTTTGTTAATTTTGTGAGTACCAAGGACCTCACTATATATTCTCTGGATACTCAACATATGTTATAATGTCTTAACTGGTTTGTGTAATCTTTCTGTTTCATCAACTCTTTCAGGACATATCATATATATATATCAGCACGACTGTCAACCGACTGCCATATTGCTGATTTATTGTCTCTAAGCACTGACACTCTGATATTGTTTCGTTTAGTAGGAAAATGAATTTGTATGAAGATGTTTTGAAAAACTAGAATTTGAGAAAGGAAGTATTACTGTTTTCCAAGCATGTTGTGGTGATAAGTTCAGTGTGATACAATTTGTGTTTGATTTTCCAGACCAAATGATAAGGGAAAAGGTTTAGAACTGTCCATACTGCTGCTGCTGTTGATGAATCTGAGCAAGAAAGTGACAGTATTTGTGACATTAGGATTAGTAATACAAGTGCAAAACAAATTGCCAATAATATAGGTTAGGATAAAGTTGAAAAAATATTTCAGTCAGATTGTCTCTGTTTTGATGAGCTGTGTTTGGAATGTCACCAAAAAATGATAATAACATCTGAAGTATTTGGATTGTTTTAAATAAAGACCAGCTGATGCGTATAATACTAGCTGATGCGTTTAATTGAACAGAGGAGGCATGTGTATTTTTAGAAATGGATTGCAGTGTTGTTGATTAAGTAAAAAAGTAAGTTAATTAAGCACAACATTTCATGTGGACAGAATCGTTATGTCTGTCTAACTTCCTTGAATGTTGTGTCATTTTGATATGTTGTTGTTACAGTGCTCCTTGAATAGTTTAGATGTATTCTGTATTCATTTCTCTTTTAATTGATATATTATATAGAGTTAGCAGCAGCACACACAAACAAAAATGTATACACAGTACTCACCCAGCAGTGAAACTTATCTACATGTACTGTACAATATTTGTGGTCTTTGAATACATCATGGTTGCAGTGAGCTGCATGGTGTTCTAAAAATAACAACCTGTGATACTAAATTTATCCAGACACAAAGAGATACATACAAGATACCTTTGATGTATGAAGTAACTACAGGTGCTCAAACTGATTCCCATTAGCCTCCAGACACTTTTTGTTACCAGAATACAGCACACAGCTACAGTAATTTCAGTCTAAATATTGTGGCATTTGCCAGATAAGGAAGCCTTTTTAAACAAATAGCCTCTATGAAAATGTTTATGCATTTCACTGCTGGGCGATTCCTGTGTCCACATTTTGTGGCTAACACTCTATGTCACTGTACAGCTAATACTTTTTTTTCCAGGAATTGTGTAGTTTTGTCATGTTACAGGAAAAAATATTCCACTCGGAATTAATCCTGTCCGAACCCCAGAAAAAATGTCTTCTTGAAACAGTTAATTAGCATAATTTAGCATGAAGTAGCAGATAGTTTTGTATTGATATACAATTCTATTTTTATTTTTTTTTAAATTTCTTTAATCGTCATCATCATCAGACTGCTGTGCCATCACAGACCATAAAAGGTTCACAATTTATTCTTCTTTCCATTCTAGCTCCCCTCCTCCCCCAGTGTATGTGTATTTAAGACTTCTGGTCCATATGGGGGAATAAGCAGAGTTATTGTTTTTAGACATGGCACATTTTTGCTTCTGACAGAAATGAGCTGTTACATGTTCCTCTGTATGTAAACTGTTATTAATTATGTGTGCAACTACTGATATGTTGTAACTGCTGGTTTCATCGATGATGAACCACATTTCTAGTGTCGGACTGTTTGTGGTGACACTTCCTACTGCTGCCTTATGCATTTAATGCAAGTGTATGCCGTCGGATTTGCTAAGACTGCAGTCTGTTTAAATGTGGTCCCAAGTGACAGAAATGGACATTCTGTGTGGTTTTCATTGCAGCAACTACGGGCTAACATATTTGCTAAGAAGATGGAACTGTGATAGTTTGATTACATGATTACCTGATTCCACCCTGTGTAACAGTTTTGAAATCATGGATGTAATCTAGTCCCGTACTTGGGAGCCTCTCCCATCAATGTTTACCTTAGGGTGGGGGAATCCTCATTTCCTCGACCCATTTGTTTTCTTTTTAACTCTTTGAGTCCCAAGGAACGCGTCATACGTTCATAGATTCCTACCTAGAAGCCCAATGAATGCAAAATGCAATGATTTTACGTCATTCTTGACTACCCCTTAGGCCTGTGATGCTAAACCTCCTGAGACTCCAAGAGTTGAGTGCCTGTTTGGTCATTCTTAACTTCTGCTCATGATGTGCCCAGCATGTCACAGTCTTCTTTTTTATTATTGTGTTTACCAGCAGTTTCTATTTAATTTCCGCAGGCTCACCTTACACAGTGGATATTGTTGACTCGAGTCGAGTCACGGTCAGTGGAGCTGGACTGAATCTGGTTCCTGTAAACACTCCCGCAGTTTTCAACATTCACACAGATGGTGCCGGCGGCGGAAAGGTAGATGTTGACATCACTGGTGAGTACTTTGTGTGTTTTCATCATAATAATTTCAGATGTTTATAATGATTTCTTTATAATTCATTGTATTTTCATTTTTTCAGAATAATTTGGTGTATATTCATGTTTTCAGTACAATTTAGTATTTTTGCATCCTTCTATCATTGTCACGCTGATCTGATGCAAGATGAGAAGGGATGCAACTCTTATACATGAATAGTTTTGCTTTACAAAAAGATAATGTTCATTTTTATTTTTTTCAGCACAGTCAATTCATTTTAAAACTAAATATGCATGCTTTTAAATTAATGTATTTGCTGTATGTTTTTATATTGCAAACTTTCTATTTCATTTGATTTTCATATAATTTAATTGAAACAATTTAAACTGCCACAAATGATTTTTTTTTTTTTTAACATTTCATTTGTGTTTTGGTGTTCTAGTATTTTATGTACTATTTACATGTTTGTTTCTGATGTTTCTTTGTGTGTGTTTTTGTTAGATGTTGCTTTGTAAAACATGAATTGCATGCTCGTATTTATCAAATTTGTATAGCACTCTACTAACTGCTTCACTCAGTAAAGTATTTCATATTTCTAACACTTTGTTAAAACTGAATAAGTAACACATTTGCAGCATACAGTAGAAGTGATCTGCAACAGGAATTTGTTCTTCTGTAACTTGTATGTTAATGTGAATTCTGAATGGGCAAAATCTATCAGTAAATGACTTGAGCAATAAAAAAAGTTAGTTGTGTATCCTTTACTGGACATTGCAGAACCAACCCCAGCATTTTTTGGCTGTTGTGGTTTTTCTAGGCAAATTTACATCCAGTAGTTTGCTATTGCTTTCTGGATGGTCGGCTTCTCGATACCACTGTCAAAAGCAACGCGAGGTGCAAGGCCTGCAGCTTGAATCGAACCCGGCACCCTGGCATTATGAAGCTCGTTCGCAACACCTAAACCACAGATGCCGACTCAGCAATAAAAGCTGTTTAAAAATGTAATTTTTAGAAATTGAATTAGTTTTATATTTAAATAAATGTAAAACGTACCGCTAAAGTATAAATGTTTTTAGCAATCTATGATATGATACTCATTAGGACCATGATACCTGCTTTAGCCATGATACATGTTATAACCATGAAATATGTTATAACTATGAGGATAATTTAAGTTTTTATTATTTTAAAAATCATCAGCAGTTAAAAGTAGACATAACATTTTGATCTTCATTTAAAAATAATCAGAAGTGAAAAGTAGACATACATTTTGAAATCATTTTTTTGAAATCATAAAAAGTGAAAAGTAGACATCAAATTTTGATCATTATTTTGAAGTCATCAAAAGTGAAAAGTAGACATAACATTTTGATAATTTTTTTTTAAATCATCAAAAATGAAAAGTAGACATAATGTGTCAATATGTAACTAATGCAGACACAAACAAAACCAACTATTTTAATCACTATTAACTTTTAAGAACTGTTACAGCTTGGTTCACAATTGTTATGAGTTTTAATTTTCCTGCTAAACACATCACACATTAGGTAATAATTAATTCAATTATCTCCTTGGACCGAATAGTTAATTTTTACAGGAATAAATAATCTGATATAGCAACAAAACAACAACAAAAATAACCTTGAAAAACAATTGCCTGTTCATTGGACAGGAAAACATTTGTTGCAAGAATCATTACTCTAAAAACAATTGATTTAATGCATTAAAAAAAAAGTAATTAACTCCTTTAGTTAAGACCATGTCCTTGGGAAATAATATCATGTGCAATGTGCTTTTTTTTCAGTTGACTTTAAATCAGAACATACTGAAATATAGGACTCCACCAGTGGCCATTTTTACTAGGTATTTAGGCTTTTTAAATGTGATACCCTCGTATATTGTTGAAGTTTTTTCCCTGTGGGCATCTGCTGCAAAAAATTATGGTGTGGTGAGTTCATTTTTTCAGTATCAAAAGTTTCCCCATGGTAGTTGTCAGACAGGGACAGTAACCATAATTTAAAAAATTCAACACTTTTACTCCTTTACTTCTAAACAGTGCATGCTTTGCGATTGGCTCTTTTAATTTAAAACATCGCGTCACATGCTCTTGGACTTTTTACATTTAAATCTAAAGAAATCTGGCTTCTGCAGTTGCTAATTCTTTCCAAACTTTTAGTAGTTATAATTTCTTAGAATGGTCATATGATGCAAAACCTTCTGGTATTGAAAGAGTTAAATGTAAAACTTTGAAAGAGGCCCATATTTTACCTGTTAACTCTTTCATCCTGCAAATCATGGGAAAAGCATAAGAACCCAGAAATTCCCCAAAAAAAAGTATTCTAAAAAACAAAAACAAAAAGACCAATCAGTTCAAACTGGTCGCTAAAAACTAAAAAATCTAGTTATTCACTTAAACAATTTTTTTTTAAAATATAAAATAAAAATAAGTATTTAAAGGGGAATAATCAATAAACATGAATAGAGCAAAGAATTTAATGGAATACATTACCTTGAGTCTAAAACAGTGATGTGATATGGTGACTTATACCCTAACCGCATCGCTATAGGACTGTTAAATGCTGAAGTTAAACTATGTTGTCACTATGATTTTTTTTTTTTTTAAAGCCATTTAAAAAAAAAATTAAATAACACCTCTCCTCCCTTCCACCCACCGTCCTCATGCTATTTTGGTAAATATAAACGACCTCGGCCTCCAAAACATTGCACGGTCACAAACGGAACCAGTGACATTATATAGGTTTTTCTGGAACTGGCCAATTCAGCAAAGCCACTTTATAGGCTTTGCTGGGATTTTTTATGGATGGCAAAGCTAATTTATTCACATTTTAAGGCAAAAGGGTTACAATGTCAAGCCAGATTTCTTTACTTTTCTGAGACCAAATTTAACAGATAAAATAGCACGCTACATGTTGTTAGATATGCAAACACAATAGGCAAACAGTTAATTGTGTGCTATTTTGACCTGAAAGATATCAAAAAATAATTTAACATAACAGTCACTGCTTAGTTTTGTTTTGTTTATGTCACCATAGCAACGCATGATTTGATTACTCTTGTTCAAAGCAGGGCTGGTTGTATGTTTCTTGTTCACTTTCACATAAAGAAAAAAGTGTTTATTCTGTCACCATGGCAACAGACCATCAGCAGCAAGCTTTCACAGGTTGTTTGCATGATTTTGTGCTCACGTGATTGCTGTAGTATGAGGTAAGTTACTAAATATAGTCACTTTTATTAAATTGCGAAATGTTTATGATAATAGTGTTAGTCTATCTTTTTCACCGTGGCTGTCCTCTTGCTCTTGGGGCTGATCTACCATCTCAGGCACTACATCTTAGAGAAGGTCACGCTGATCTTCCATCACAGACATTACATTTTAGAAGACAGATCCAAGAGCAAGAGGATGGCCATGAAAAATATGGATCAACAACATTAAAGACACTTTAACCCCTTTACGACAATAGCCAGTGGCAGCCAGCATGTACTGGATTTCAAATTGTTCTTCCCCATGACACTTAGCAGCAAAAGAGGTTATGATGATGATGTTTATGATAAATGTTGGCATCTGTGGTTTAGACATTCTTCTTCTTCTTCAGCATTCCGAGCCCTTGAGGTTCATTGTTGCAGATATCACCCGCCTCCATTCATCTCTCTGGTTGGCCTTCTTCTTCAGCATTCCGAGCCCTTGAGGTTTATTGCTGCAGATATCACCCGCCTCCATTCATCTCTCTGGTTGGCCTTCTTCTTCAGCATTCCGAGCCCTTGAGGTTAATTGTTGCAGATATCACCCGCCTCCATTCATCTCTCTGGTTGGCCTTTAATTTTCCAGTTGGTGACACCAAGTGTTTGCAGATCTGTCTGGAGGTTATCTCTCCATCGTCTTCTTGGTCTGCCCCATGGTCTACGACCATTCAGCTCCCTTGTGTATACAGTTTTTACTTCTCTGTCATCTGACATTCTTTGAATATGCCCCAGCAATTTCAGTCTATTAGCTCTCATGATGCCAGTAACATTGCTTAGACATTGTAAATGAATTTCATAATTCTGAGATACCCAGCTTGATTTCAGTTGTGGGGAGTTTGGCAGCAAACCACATTGCAAGCAACTCTCCCCATGTCCTCCCTAATTTTTTAACTTCACTCTCTAGTTCCCGTCTCCATGTGGTTTTGGTCTGCCTTTATTTCAATGCCCCTGTGGGTTTCACAGTGCTGCGAAGTAAAGGTGGCCGGCATGATGCTGATCACATCACCCACCAAGTGCCGATTGGTCTATAAAATATAGGTCAAGCTTTATATTTTCAATATGCCTGAAGGCGGGGAAAAGGGTCTTTGACTGTTCTGAATTGGGCCCGGGACCCACACGGGTAGAACCACCCTTTTCAGCACTGGACAGATGATTTAGTCAACATCACTTTGACCTTATTTAAATTTCCCAGGACATTTCTTGGTACCCATGTTAGGCTGGGTCGACCTGGACACCCAGGGCAGTGTGAAAACTTCTGCCGTGTTGCAGATTTGTACAGTATAACTTTCGCCCAGAAGATTACAAACACTGAGGTATTGGAAAGAGCAGGTACTACAACCGTTTTCTCAGTGCTCAGTCTTTGGAGTAAACAAGACGGGGAATCCTTGATTCTGTAGATATAATAAACAAATATGCTCTGCTTCTCTTTATGAGTGCTGATCAGTTCTGGTATATTTGTTAATCAGTCTCAGATGGCTGGGTCACACCCGGAGAATGAAGGGTGTCCCTAAGGACATCCTCTATGGTGAATTATAGATATGTAGAAGATGTCGAGGCTGGCCCCTACTATTATATAAAGATATGTGCAAGCGAGACATGAATGATACCAGTACTGAGGTAGATTCATGGGAATGAAATGCCAAAGACCGTGTTGCATGGAGATGGCAAATCAGGAAGGGAATGAGAATGAAGGAAGAAATAATTGCAGAAAGGATGGAAGGTAAGCGTCTGAGGAGAAGCACACTACATGCATGTGA